CTCTCTCTGTGTGTGTGTGTGTGTGTGTGTGTGTGTCTGTGTCTGTGTCTGTGTCTGTGTCTGTGTCTCTCTCTATTTCTCAAGGTCTGTCTTTCTGTCTCTGTATCTCTCTATTTCTCTCTATCCATCTCTGTCTCTGTCTGCTGCTGCTGCTGCTGCTGCTGCTGCTGCTGCTGCTGCTGCTGCTGCTGCTGCTTTTCATGACTCTATCTCTTTCTCTTCCAAGTGAAGGTGCCCTACACAATTATGTTTGGAGTAAAAAGTTTTACATTTGTGAAGAGGATCTTAGTCAATGTCACCAAGTGAGCTTTAACTACCAACTCTGTGACCTAGCAACCCCATTTCCATTCATGTATTTTTCCATTCACCAAGTATTCATTGAGTATTACTATATCCTTAACTTGTGCCAGATATAAAGGAATGGAACTTATTTCTGGGAATCTAGCCTAATAAAATAACTGAGGACATAAAAATGTAAATACATAGTTTTTTTCCTTAACATTGAGTGGGGAAAAAACGGAAAACTAAATGTTTCTTTAAAGGTGTTTAATAGAACAAACAATGGGATTTCAACTTAATAAAAAGCTTGCATTTTATTAAAATTATGTTACATATGGGTAAAGAAAATGCATATCTACACAATACATTGTTGTTCATCCTTTGAAATGAAGCTTATATATGACACTGTAGATGGACTTGCAAGATCTTCTACTGAGTGAAATAAGCCAGCCATGAGAAGATAAACACTAAATGAAAGATTTCAGTATACATTTAATCTGAAAAAGTTGAACTCATAAAAACAGAGAAGCCTGAGGAGTACGGAGATACTGATCAAAGAATATAAAGTTTCCATTAGAATAAGTTCTGGTGGTAGGGAGATGACTCAGTCAGTACAGTGTGCTGCCTAAGCATGAGGACCTGAGTTCAGATCCCCAGCTCCCACATGAAAAGGAAGGTGTGGTGATGTCCATCTGTAAGCCCAGTGCTGTGGAGGCAAAGGCAGGCAGTTCTCTGGGGCTTGCTGGCTAGGCAGGCTAGACAGTTAATGAGCTTCAGATTCAATGAGAGACACGGCCTCAAAGCATAAGGGGTTCAAACAATTGTGAAAGGCAGCTGATGTTGCTTTGTGGCCTCCACGTGTACACCTGCATATGCACATAGACACACAGATGCACACACAAACACACACACATACATACACACACACACACACACACACACACACACACACACACACACACACACGAAAGAACATGTCTAAGAGATCTATTGTACCTGTCATTACCATAGAAAATAGCAATACACTGCATACCTAGATATTGAGAGAACAGATTTTTTACTACCTCAAAAGTAAATATATATGTCTTAACTTGCTTGATTTAATCATTCTACATCAAAATATCACATGTACAACAATTATATAGGAGTTTCACTTGTTAATAAGAAAAACATGATCAACACAATAAAATTATAGTGTGTACTATAATGATATGATAATATATAATAATATAACATAATCATAATGTAAGAACGATATTTAAATGATAACAATATATCAGCAAGTTAAAATAAACAGATATTTAGTAAAATTATGTGCAAATATATATTTATATGCATCATGAAATACATTTTAAATTGGAAAATTTAAAAACTAGTAGTACCTATGAATTTAGGATTATGGATTATTTGCTCCTTTTTATTATACTTTTCTAATAATCTTTTTCTATGAATGATAGCTATTTGTATTATGTGAATAATTGAAATAATTTGCAGTAATTTGGTAACTTTGGTAATTTATCTCCTGTCTGAAGAAAGGGCTGGAAAAATGTACCCAAACAACAAGGGCATACATTCAAGACTTCCAGGAATTCTCAAAAAACATCTCCATCATGCTGGGGAAGTGTCAGACCCACACAAGTGAATACAAGAGTGCAGTCGACAACCTGGCACTAAGAGTGGAACGTGCCCAGCGGGAGATCGACTACCTGCAATACCTCCGGGAAGCTGACATATGCATCGAATCAGAGGAGAAGACACTGGCTGAGAAGGTACTTCAAGAAGCAGAAGAAGAAAAGAAGATCCGAGCTCTGTTGAACGCAAGTAAGGGATTCTTCTACCACCCCTTCTGGGCCTGACACACTTGGAGAGATGAAGCCTCTGTGCAGTTAGGAAGTGTGATCAGTGGTGATGAGTGAGAACTGGGGGGGGGGCATTCTTGTGTGTACAGGTGTGAGCAACTTGGCAGGGGTCTTACATCCCAATAGAATCCCACTGCAAGGAAATGGCTTTCTTTCCTCAGAGAGTTTCTAAAGACATCATGGAAGGCCAGGTCTACAGTCTGAGAGGTAGACATTGGTTTAATGGAGACATGTGGTCCCAGATCCTTCTAGGGAGAGTAGCAGGCTGGTGTGGGCTACACCAAGGGCCCTGGGAACAGAGAACTGCTGCCAGTGTAACAAGCAACAGTTTGAAACTAGAAACTGTGACAACCAAACCTCAGGACTGAGTACTACATTATATCGCTATTGTGTACTATTTGGGATGGTGGCTTTCAGAAATTTGTCCCCAGTCTTGCGACCCATCAGTATCAGTTCTAGGCTGTCAATAATAGTATCTAGTAGCTCATAGAATGATAAGCATCACAGCTGAGAAGATTTTTCTGTGCATGTGTCCATTTGATTAAAACAGTAAGAAAAACAAGCCCCCCCCCCACCTGTATTTTGTATTCTGGAAAGACTTCACTGCAAATAGGGAGACTATTCCAAATTTGGGGAACTTCAGCAAGTTTATATAAGACATAATCAGGGTCATCTTTGTTTTTAGGGCTTTACGTACCTTCTCAATATAATTGTTTTAAGAAATTATGGGTCATAAGAAGGGTCTTGGGCCTGAGGATGTAGCTCAGTTGGTAGAGTACCTGCCTAGCATGCATGAAACTGTTGCTATAACTGAATCATACAAGGTAATTTGTAAAGAATAGAAATTTACTTAGTTTATTGGAAGTTTTCTAGAGGCTGGGAAGTCTAAGAACATGATATAGGTATCTACTTGGCATCAGGGGAGAGTCATCTTGCTGCATTACGACATGGCAAAAGGCATTGCAAGCTAGCTCAGAAGCCCCTTTTATTTATTTAGTGTGTGTGTGTGTGTGTGTGTGTGTGTGTGTGTGTGTGTGAGTGCATAAGGAAGGGAGGGTTGTATGTGTACACATATGGAACCTAGAGGTCAATGACATTCTTCAGATGTCATTCATCTTGGGTTTGTTTGTTTGTTTCTTAGATGAGGTCTCTCACTGAGACCTGGGGTTTACTTATTAAGCTAGACTGGTTGACTATTGAGTTCCAAGCGTCCTCTTGCCTCTACCTCCACAGCACTGGGATTGCATGATGTACCCTAACACCGGGGGGTTTGTTTATTTTTCATGTAGATTCTGGGAATGAAATTCAGGTCTTCATGTTTGCAAGGCAAGCACTTCTACTGAACTATCTTCCCAACCCTGTTCTGTTCTGTGTTTTTCTTAAAGATCCACTAATACAATCATAAAAGATGCTACCCTTGATTTTCATGACATCGTCTAATCCTATTTACCTCCCAAAGGCTCTACCTCCAAGTAATATGAACATATGACTTTAAAGACTAAGCCTCCAATATATGCTCTTTGAGGAAGGCACATTCAAGCTGTAACAACTTAAAACTTCAAAGTTTTCTCATTCATTTATTGGCTCACTGCTCATATTCTCCTCCATCTGTGCCAGCTCCATGAGAGCTTAAACATTCCACTGCAGGGTGTAAAATAGGATCTTTGTTCAAACAAATAATTGTCAGTAAAGAAGTAAGTAAATAAATAAGTGAGTGGATGGAGTGAATGTCGGTACAGCTTATTTAGAGTATGATAGAAAAAAGAACATCATAGTCCTGAGTCTGAAGAAAGAGCAGGGTGCCTTTCCTACCATATGAATCAGTTGATCTAGTTGGTCAAGTGAGAGATCCTTTCAGCTTTGGCCTTGTCCTGCAGGGAACTTGCCCCTCTGAGAGAGCATGTCTTTGAGTAACAATGAGTATGAGAATACAAAGGGGAAATAAGCTAAAATCATCTTTGCAGGGTGAATACAGGGACTTTTCATACATGGTAGAGGGACGGGAATGTAGCTCAGTGGTAGGGTGATTGCCCAGCATGTACAGAACTTGAGTCTGATTCATATCTCCAGTAAGGAAGTGATGAGGGAAATGATGTGCTAAAATTGTCTGAGCTAGAATGTGCCTGAACTTTCCCAGAGGGCCACAGGCAGGCCACCAAGCCCAAATGGTGGAGCTGTGTTCCTGAGCTTTTCCTATTCCTGGGGTACTCTCAGACCTGCAGACCTTGAGGTGAACCCTTCCCCATTCTAGCTAGAGTGCAGCAGAGTTCCCAACACTGGAGTTCATGCTTTGTCAACTCCATCCTCTGTCCCACTCTGCAGACACTGGAGATTGCCACTCACATGTCTGTCACTTCTGGAGCACAGATTCAACGATAGCTATTTAAAATTTAGCCAACCCTCATTGCCTTTCACTGTTAGATGGACAAGTCTGCACCCTGTGCTAGTTTCTTTACTGCTTCTCTTGCTTCCTAGATCCCCATTATGGTCACACACACCTTCGCACAACTCAGCATAGATTACATTACTTCACTGTATAGTATTTTTCATAATTCTTCACCATTTGTTAGCAGCAGCAAAAATGTCCACTCTACTCTTCAATCCTTTTATATAGAAAAAGCCTTTTGCAAAGTGACTTGAACCAATCTCAACTGCTGCTCCTCCCAAAGTATACATGTATAGTTATAACTTAAATAAAGAAATATATATTATCATATGCATACAGACAAATATGTGAGCATTTAACACACTCAACCACACATATTTTATTTATGTACATCTTATTCTTCTACCAGACCATGAATAAATATCCTGGCATCATCTTCTCTGTGTTCATGGGGTGTACAACAGGGACCTAGCATAGAGGAAGAAGGCCAGAGAAATTATTCCTAGAAGAGAAATGGGTGGGAGAGAGTCTGAAGAACAGATAAAGGACATGTGACTCTAAATACAGTCACAGCCATGTGATTAGTGGTCTCCTGACTTGGCCTGTTCTGGTCTGCTATTCTATTGCTGTGATTAAAAAACAAAAAAAAACAAAAAAAAAACCACTAACCAAAAGCAAGCAAGTTTGGGAGGAAAGAGTTTATTTGGCTTACACATCCCAATACAGTCAACTACTAAGATAAGTCAGGGCAGGAACTCAAGTAGGAGCAGAGGCAGGAATCATAGAGGAACACTGCTTACTGTCTTTTTCCTCATGGCTTGATTAGTCTGCTTTCTTATACAGCCCAAGACCACCTGGCCAGAGGTGGCACCACCCACAGTGGGCTGGGCCCTCCCACATCAACCATCAATCAAAAAATGCCCCCATTGACTGGCCCACGGGCCAATTAAAGGAGTTGATCACTCAACAGAGGGTCTCTCTTCTCTGGTAACTCTAATTTGTGTCAAGTTGACAGAAACTAACCAGCATATGATATATTATTTTCAGACAAAGCTAGACTTAGAATGCTAGCTTAGTCCCCTGTCCTGCACATATTTTATAATGTGCTTGACCTTATTTTATTGTGGTGGTGGTGGTGGTGGTGGTGGTGGTGGTGGTGGTGGTGGTTTTTGCTTGACTCTTCTGGTAGATACTGTGCCAGATCAGTTTTCTAACTCTGTAGAACAGATCATCATAAATTCAGCAGCTGAAAACAATATGAGTCCATTATTACAGAGTTCACACATGGCTTCTTCTAACTGTATGACCAAGGCCATGGGCTTCCTGAGGCTCTGGTTCTGTAGGCTGCTCACAGTATGGCACTGAAAAGACAATTTTTTTCTTCAAGAGGTGCTCCACACCTCTTTTAAGAAGTTCTTTATCTGATCACATCAAGTCTCTCTATCATTATCATCCATTTGATTAATCAGAGTCAACTGATTTGGACCCTTATTAATGACAGCATCCCTGAACATTTGTCTTAAAGTACCATGTGATCACAGTGTACACCCTCTCATATGCCCAGGCCCTGTCCATGCTCCAGGGACAGAGTTAGCTATGTGAAGTCTGTACAGGACAGGGATCTTGGGAGCTGCATTAGTTATTTGACTCACAGCTGCCACAAAATACCTGACAAAAGCCACTTTGGGAAGAAAGGGTTTATTTTATAGTTCCGGGGATACCGTCCATCATGGCAAAGACTGAAGCCGCAGGTAGCTGGTTATATTATGTCATCAGTCAGAAAGTAGAGAACAGCGAATCAATCATCAATCAATCTCTCTCTCTACCACTGCCTTTCCTCTTTCTCTCTCTTCCCATCTCTTGGAATGCTAGATTGAACCTAGGATCTCATCACTCTACCCCTGAACTGTATCACCTGGTGGTTGCTTTCTCCTTTTTATACAGTCCAGGACCCCAGCCAATGGAATGGTACTGCCCTCTTAAGGGTGAGTCTTCCCATTTCAGTGATCTCAATCTAGAAATGTTCTTACAGACATACCTAGAAATTTGTCTCCATTTCAATTCTATTTATTTTATGTTACTGTTTATTTATTTTAAGTATACGAGTACTCCCCTTGCATGTATGAATGTGTACCACCTGATGCTGAGGAAGTCAGAAGGCAGCCAGATCCCCCAGAACTGGAGTTTCCAGATGACTGTGAGCTTCCATGTGGATGTACATATAGGTCCTGTGTTGCTGGCCTTGAGAATGCAGCAACACTGGGTTGGTTGGGAATAGAATTTGGATCCTCTGCTTGAGCAGTCAGTGCTCTTAACTTCTGAGCCATCTCTCCAGCCTTCCGTTTTGATTCTAAATCCCATCAAGTTGACTGTCACAGTTAGCCATCACAGGGACCATTTGGGAATTCCACCTACCACCATGTCTTAGTTTGCTACTAATTATCCGAACTTGTCTTTCTAGAAGATCCCACTATTCCCATCTCCTTGGGCTACAAGGACTATGCCAGTGGAACAGCTTTCACTAAAATCCTAAACTCTGAAGTCAGCACCTTCTGCAAGCAAACCCCTTGGGATCA